GAGGCACATCCGGGCATCACGCGCACAAAGGCGCGACTTCGTGAGCTATTCTGGTGGCCACGGATGGACAAGCAAGCTGAATCTGCCGTGAAAGACTGTCACATCTGCCTGGAGGCAGATAAGTCTGCCAAAACATCGCCAGCGCCATTGCAGCCTATTGACTGGCCTGAAAGGCCATGGCAGAAACTGGGCCTAGACATTGTTGGCCCATTGGAACATGCACCTCACAATAGCCAATTTGCTATAACACTGGTCAATTACCTTTCCAAATGGCCAGAGATATATTTCTGCAGCGAAGTGGCCACAAGCACGGTGAAAGACTATTTAACTAGTGTTTTTGCCCGTGAAGGATACCCGGAAGAGATTGTTTGCGACAATGGGCCACAGTTCGCTTCACGTGAATTTGTAACCTTTCTTCAAAACCGAGCCATCAAGCTGTCTCATTTGTCTGTATATTACCCCCAGGCGAATGGGTAAGTCGAGAGGTTCAATCGAACTCTGAAAAACTTCATCCAGGTTTCACTCCTCGAAAGGAAACCTATCCGACAAGCAGTTACGGACTACCTCTCTATTTACCGCTGTACTCCACAGGCTACCACTGGAGTTGCCCCAGCAGTTCTGCTGCATGGGCGGATGCCCCGAACCAGATTGGATGTTGTGGGGTTTTCGGCACCAGCGTTTGCAAAAGACCCAGCAAAGGAACTGGCGCGACTGCGCCAAAGGGTCCGGCTTCAACAGCAAAGCAGTAAGGAGTACACGGACCGCAGGAGAGCTGCTAAGCAGCCAAAGATAGCTGTGGGTGATTTCGTTCGTATCAAGAAGCCGTTCGTTCGCTTCAAGGGGGATCGCTCCTTTTCCTCGCCAACTGAGGTGTTGGGGAGGAGGGGACCTGCCTCTTTCCGACTTGCAGACGGCCGCACATGGAACACCTCCAAGCTTTCCTGGGTTCCTGAGAGGGGTACGAGTCCACCATACCAACGTTCGGAGCTACCTGCGCCACAGCTTCCGGTTCAAGTGCCGCCGCCGCCTTCTCCCGGGTCGCCGCCGCCGCCTCCTGGCGTACTGCAGCGACTGCGGTACTGCAGTCTGCCGTACCGCAGTCGCCTGCTCCTGATCCGCAGCTGCCTGTACCGGAGCCTGCCATGCTGCAGCCGCCCTTTCCTGGGCCGCAATTGCGGTCTCCTGGCGTACTACAGAGCTCTACAAGCTCATTACCATCTCCGGCCGTGCAGCATCCCCATCGGCCGTCCCGAGAGCGCCGGCCACCGGTCTGGCTCAAGGACTATCAGACCCACTAGTTGCCTGTGTGTATAGCACAGTGTGTATGTAGTGTAAATATGTATGTGTATACAGCGTGTAAAATGTACAGTGCATACATAGGGGTTTCTTACTAACACTTAGTAACAACTAATCACTACATATAAGGGAGGGAGTATGTTATTATATTCAGTTTCGGTTTTTACTTTGTGTTCTTTCTCCCCCAGGGGGCACGTCTGTCCTTTATGTATATATTCGATGTGTTGCGTACAATAAACGTCTTTTTGTATGGTGGTGCTGCCGGTGCTTCTTACGTCTTTCGCAAACACCACACCGTGCACGGCAGTGCAAATTGCACGGCAGTGCAATTTGGCGGGAGGTATTCGACACGCACATTGCTCAAATGGAGATCGACAAGATGTGCGGAGCAATTGTCTACAATCAAAAGAATCTTTCTTTTTGCCTTTCTAATTTCTTCGCTGATGCTTAGCAGCCACTCACTGAAGAGATTCCTGGTCATCCATGCTTTTTGGTTGCTTTTATATGTGCATGGAAATGAAGGGAAACCTTCAAAACATTTCGGTTTCGCGTATTTTTCTACCATTAGGGGCTTGAGCTTGTGGCTGCCACTGGCATTGCACCACAACAGCACTGTGATCCTTGCTTTCAATTGCCTCCCGCCTTTGCAACTGTCATTTTTGAATGTCATTGGCTTGTTTGAAAGGACCTGACAAAACATACCAGTTTCATCGGCGTTGTAAATGTGATCAGGTGAATATCCACTAATGATATCGCGTAGTTTTTCATCCTTCCAGGCTCTCGCGGCTTCATGGTCGGCATCCTTGCTTTCGGCACAAATCGTTTTCCACGCAAACCCATGCCTATCCCTAAATCGGGTAAGCCATCCGCTGCTTGCTTTGAAGCCACGAACGTCCCGAAGCAGAGCAAATTCTTTCGCTTTGTACTGTATCATCGGGCTGGACACGGGTATGTTTTGGGATCGCAGGTCGCAGAGCTATATCGCAGTGGCATCATCCACTGCCTTGAAATGTCCCGTGTAGAATCGTTTCTTGGTAGGATTGATGAAGTTTCTCTTTCGAGCTTTGATTTTTGCTTCACTATCGTTGACAACGTCGACGGTGCAATTCCGTATTCCTTTGCAACGTCCATTTGCCTTTGCCCGCTTTCAAGACACTGAAGGATTTGGAGCTTGTCTGACAGAGTCAACCGCTTGCACTTCGTCGAACACATTACGAAAGTGGGCGTATCGCGCATGAAATGCACTGTTGTTTTCCGAATTGAAGAAGGCGCCGACAGATGCCGATGAGACAGACAAAAAAAGAAGGGGTGCCGGCGAATTGATGCTCACGTGACTCTTTTTCATCACCCGTACGGCCGCTTTGTCTCGGCGGCGCCGTATGCACAAGTGATGTCACGCCGCCACCGATGGATGGGCCATTTACTGGCGGCTCGCTATGCCAGTGCTGCAGTGCACAAAAATTCGTTGAATTGATTTCAAAAATGAGCCTGGGTCCGCTGGTCATGTTCGTTCAACTGAAAAATTCACTATTCTTAAATTCATTTAACTGAAAAATTTTTACATAGAATGCATAAGAAAATTGCCAGGGGTTTTCTAAAAGTTTGTTATTCTGAAATATTTTTTATACCGACGTTCGTACAAATGAGAGTTTGCTGTATTATAGCGCAGCACCCTGCCTAGAATTCAAAATAAATTATTCAAGTCAGCAAGAAATTGCTTTCTCTTCTCTCGACAAATAACAGAAGACGCGCAAAAATCACTCGTAGCAAGCCCATTTATCAGCCATTGGCTGATTTGCTCATGGCATGCTCGGTTGTTATAGAGTTACAAGCACCATGCATTATAGAACCACAAGCACCATGCATTTCTCTGAAGTTAATCGGCTAAGCGCATTTTCACAACCACACACACACATTGGTTTGCAAAAACATCCGTCGAAAATCGCTATGTTGCAAAATTGGGCAAATTCAAGCTGATTGTGGGAGGACCGGGGTTTGAATTAACTACTAGAAATGCTAGGTGCATGGGAAACAAATTCAACATGCCAGAAATGACGATTCAAAGCATCGATCACCATTGATCGATCAGAATACGCGTGGTAACAAAACAATTAATAATCAAGTGCAACAAAAATTTCATTGTATAAGCGATAATTTATATAAATGGGTCGTATGAAAAGAAGCCATCATTTGGAATAAGGATGACAAAGCTGCAAATTTTTCATGCATGCTTGCGAATTCGGATGCTTACACGGCATGCTAGGAGCCCCATAAAGCCAATGTATAGGAACGTCTGAAATTTTGTTGGCTAAAACTTTTAGAAGTCTCATTTTTCCAAACTTTTTACGTAAATTGAGTGTCTGAAACTGCAATAACTGCAGCCACCACCACCGCTGCACTATCAGTCATCTCGCAGGCTTGAACCAGTGCTCGCATGATTCAATCTGCTTGCAGCTTTGCCATAGAGCTATGTAGTTGAGTTAATTATGAATATGAAGGGGCTACAGTCAAGGCACGGCTAAGCATCACCTTGGCGTAGTGGTAAAAGGGCGACGGGAGAGGTACACATGGCTGGCAATACTACTAAGACTACAGCATAGGTCTTATTGTATGTGTGTGCAGTGGTTGTTGGGATGGTCGGCAGAAGTACAGCAGCTTTAACTTCTAATTTTGTTCTTTGTTTCAAAGGATTTTGCGCTCCATTAGCTTTCAGCCAGCACCCAAAATTCATTGTTATAACCAATAAAGCAGCCTGGGGGCATTGTTTTAAGTGGGTTATTTCACCGTTGCAAACATAAGAATGTCGACATTGCAGCGGATTCCTGTTGCCACAAGCAATATATTCCCAAAATCGCCATCACTGTGAGTGGGTTCAACTCTACGGTATTTCTTCATAGTAGTGTGGTGGCAGATAACTGGTGTCCTGCATACTTTTAGCGTAGCTTCTGCCCTTGCTAGGCAAATCATATTTTGGGCTAGTTGTTTTGTAGTGAGAGAGTGCCAGATGTTGTGCATATGGTTCATGACAAATAACTACGACATACTAAACACACGAGTGGCATATAGAGATTTCAACACATCACTCCATGAACACTGGCTGTGAAGAGGCACCGCATGCAGACCTATTTGACTTCCATAAAATCTTAAGCCAGCACCTCTACTCAAGCAAGTGCTTCTTCCCCTTTTCAAGAGATTCCAAATATGTGCCAATGAACAAGCAAGTGGCCCCCCCTTCCCTCCTGCTATTCTTTTTTTTTAACGTATTCACTAGCACAGAATCCTGCAGCAGCGATTCTTTGGAATTCAAATTCTGAGTCTTCAGATATGTGCACAGTTTGTTAGTACTTTTACAGTGTGATGTCTCAGGCTTCCATTCTGAGTTGCCGCAATTTGTAGGAACCTTTGAAGAACGTCTTCTCTCCCTTGTCATAACACATGAAATTTCATTCGAGGATTCTCTCGTGTTCAGTAAAAACTGTAAATGCACTTTTATTTGATAAAGCATTTCATTAGAAGTAGATACACAAATTCTTTTTAGAGGCATTTCTGTCACTGTTTTGAATTCTGGTTCACGACTTATCTTTCACCCTTTTTTTGGAGAGAGGAGGTTTGCACGAGATTTTACACTTATCTAAAAGAGAATTGTTGGAATGCTAAAAAAAAAGAAATGGTGCATCTTGATAAGACAAAATAAAAAAAAAAAGTCTGCTGCAAAGCATTGAAATAGTTTATCAGAGCTTGCCATGAGACTATACATTTCAAAACCATGAAGATGCTTTCGGTGTTGGAGCTTTGGCCACAGCTTGCAGAGTTGCCATGGTTGACTCACTTGCGCAAACTAGTGAAAAGAAGGCCATGCCTGAGACTGTCATAGTACACGCCTCACTGTGTAAACTGTGATGGCGAGCATCTTGCGTATTCCCAGTATTGTTCTGGCTGGAAAAAGAGAAAAAATGATCACAATTGTGAATATCCGTGAGACTGTGCATTTCTCAGAAGCGCATAGAAGGTGTTGATTGTTCTAAGCATCATGTGTGCAGACGCCACACATTGAGCAGCAGCATCGCACCAGCCATAGCCACAAGCCCAGACCGTTCATTCCGAGCGGCCGCTTGTGAGACACGCCCTTATTGTGGGAGTGGCCAAGGCTGCCCTGCCTTCCCTGATTTTTTTTACACCAGAAGCCTCTAGAAGCTGTGGCAGAAGCACACCTCCACATTGGTGGAGTCAAAGCTTCACTTCGTACACATTACTCTCTACAACGAGTGTCCAATATGTTGCATGAGGTAATGGACGTCGCTCCTTGTGAAAAGGCGTAGGAAGAGTCTAAGGAGCGCCAAAGCTTCCTCTTGGTGCTTTCCTTATGAAACCCACATCTCTCAAACAGAACCTATTTTTCATAGGTTAACTGAGCACTATGTTTACTTGCATATTGTAGACTTGCAAACAAAGCCTATGCATCACAGAACTTGTTAGGGATCATTAAGAGACAGAAGGTTTAAATTCTGGCTGTTAACAGAGGTATAACTAATTTGGAGGTGTTATATGGAATGCTATGCTCAGTGTTTCTTCAAGTAAAGGCTGTGAATGATGTTTTTGGCCACGAAATGCAGGGAGCGCATCCGCAACATAGAAGCAACCGAGGAGGCCAAGCTGAAGCTTATTCGAGATCGAGTAACCCAGAAGAAGCGCGAGACGTCGTTTGTGCCTACCAACATGGCTGTCAACTTTGTCCAGCACAACCGCTGTGAGTATCCTGCCCTTTTTTATTGTTTTTTTTTTTGTTACTGGAGTAGAAAAAGCTTGTTAGTTGTGAAATGCAGATTGTTTGTACTTTTTCTTCTGGTCCCAGCAAGTTGATACATTACTAAGTGCTGTAGAACTCTGATTAATTTAGATGAATTTTAGCTCACCTTAGTTGTTGGACAGTTCTCTGCGCAAGCTTGCATCTCTTAGTGGCTAAAATGCAACTTGCGGAGGCAGTTATATGGTCCAATCAAAACAGAGCTGCCCTTTGCACGTAACTTTGTTCAGCAGAGGGAACTATAGAGGGGCACTTTGGGCCCTAATGCATTTACAAGATATATGCATGGTTGCTATGTGTGTGATTGTGTTCTTAATAATCGAGTTGAAAAGAGTAGGGCATGTAGACTAGTGAACGTGTTTGCCTTCTCTCATGTGCGATGAACCTTTTGAAGTGGTAGTGCCCTGTTGTATTTTGATTTGCACTAGGTGGAGCAAGTGCTATTTCTCTTACTCCGGACAAGTGACATGTGCTTTCAGAAACACTATTTATGACTCACTTTCTTCTAGCATGCACAAATGCACATAACTCTGCTTACAGACCAAAGTCCCAGAGTGATAATATCAAGAATGGCATTCACAGTTCAAAACTACAGCAAAATTGAATAATTACTGTGAATTAAACAGCAGCAGATAATGTTATATAATATAGGACACAAGAAGATTGATGTCTAAAACAATATAGCATGGAATTCATAGAAATTACAATATTCTCATTTCTAGGTTATTGATTAGATCATTTGTAAAATTAATATACGTATCAGCTCCTTGAAAAGAAGTAAACACCTTATGTAAGCAGACTGTTCTCAAGGATTTGACTCTGCTTTCAAAGGCATGCTATCTTTGTATTTTAGTACGCCTTCATATTTAGCCATTTAATAATAATATATGGGTTTCAACATCCTAAAACAATGATATGATTATGAGAGACGCCGTAGTGGAGGGTTTCAGATATTTCGACTACCTGAAGTTCTTTAATGTGCATCTAAATCTAGGCCTCAAACATTTTCACCTGCCTCGAAAATGCAGCCGCGGCAGCTGGGATTCAATCCCGTGGCCTTCGGGTAAGCATTCGAGTGCCATAACCACTAGACCACTGTGACAGGGCACATTTAGCCATTTAAATAAGTTTATAAGTTTATAACATATTGTCGCCATGTGTTGCGCCATTGTAGTGCATCCAAAATAACACTAACTGCGTTATTATATGGGCTCCATATAATTTTCATGTTCACTGAGTTAAACCTCCCTAGAATAAGAGCATCTGGTGCAATCATGGTATTATGATATGTTACCAGATTTTTTTTAATACCCACAGTTATGGTTCTTTCATTGGCAGAGATAGTAGAGTTAACCCCAAGTCTGTGACTGCATAATAATAAGCTAGTGACATGCCCGCGCTCCCGGGTATGAAAGGTAACCCAAAAATTACTTTTTCATGGGCCGAAATGAAAGATGGCAAGAGCCTGCTGCACAGTCGAATGAAAGAATAATAATAAAGAAAGAGGATGAAGAAAAGCCTTTTTTTCTTTAACCAAAAGCGTTATTTAACATGCATTTTTAGTAAAACCTCATTCATTCAGGGAATGTGCGGCAATGGCGTAGTGGTTAGAGCATCCGCCTCGCATACAAGAGGTTCGTGGTTCAAATCCCGGTGCCGCGCAGTTCCCAACCGGATAAAAAAAAAAATCCGCGTGTTGATGGTACTGCATTGAGGCCTGGGGTGCGGCCTCACCGGTAACCACCGCCGGTGGTTACCGGTGAGGCCACACCGGTAACGCACTCCCTCACCAGAGAAGGATTGCCCACCCTGGTGCAGTATCTGGCCACTACCTCCCACATGCTTACGTCAAATAACTCATGGCCCTCAGTCCCCAGCAGCTGCGAAGCAACTGACCACGGCGGCGGTCAGATCTGCAACGCAGCAGAGGGTGCTAAGAATCTCTGGATCCGGACAGGCCGTCATTGGAACCTGAACTTGGCAACGTTTAACGCTAGAACCTTATCTAGTGAGGGAAGTCTAGCTGTACTACTCGAGGAGCTAGAGGGTGTTGAATGGGATATAATAGGGCTCAGTGAGGTTAGGAGGACAGATGAAGCCTATACGGTGCTACAGAATGGGCACGTCCTTTGCTATCGGGGCTTGGCAGACAGAAGAGAACTGGGGGTGGGGCTCCTAATTCACAGAAACATAGCTGGCAACATAGAGGAATACTATAGCATTAATGAAAGGGTGGTAGGTATCGTAATTAAACTGAATAAAAGATACAAGATGAAGGTAGTACAGGCTTACGCGCCTACATCCAGCCATGATGACGCTTCAGTTGAAAGCTTCTATGAAGACATGGAATCGGCAATGAATAAGGTAAAAACACAGTATACTATAGTGATGGGCGACTTTAATGCAAAGGTAAGGAAGAAGCAGGCTGGAGACCAGGCAGTAGGAGATTATGGCATCGGTACTAGAAACGCCGGAGGAGAGCTACTAGTAGAATTCGCAGAACGCAATAATTTACGAATTTTGAATACCTTCTACCGAAAACGAGAAAACCGCAAGTGGACATGGAGGAGCCCTAATGGCGAAAATAAGAACGAAATAGACTTTATAATGAGTGTACACCCAGGAATCGTGCAGGATGTGGAAGTGGTTGGCAAGGTACGATGCAGTGACCATAGAATGGTATGGTCTCGAATTCGCCTAGACTTGAAGAAAGAACGACAGAAACTGATACGCAAGAAGCCAATCAATGAGCTAGCACTGAGAGGGAAAGTACAGGAATTCAGAGTGTCGCGGCAGAACAGGTACTCGGCTCTTAATGAGGAAACCAACCTTAGCGTAGATACAATGAATGATAATCTGACGAGTATTATTACGGAGTGTGCAGTGGAAGTTGGAGGCAGGGTAGTTAGACAGGACACTGGCAAGCTTTCCAAGGAAACGAAGAACCTAATTAAGAAGCGTCAAATCATGAAAGTGTCAAGTACAACAGACAAAATAGAACTGGCAGAGCTTTCGAAGTTGATTAATAGACGTAAGGTATGCGATGTAAGAAGGTATAACATGGAGAGAATTGAACACGCTCTGAAAAAAGCAGTGAAGAGGAAACTTGGGATAGGCAAAAGTCGGATGTATGCACTAAGGGACAAAGAAGGCAAAATAACTACCAATATGGATAGGATAGTTAAAATATCGGAAGAGTTTTACAGAGATCTGTACAGTAGCGGAGACAACCACGACCTTAATACTATAAGAAGTAGCAGTAACCCAGATGACACCCCACCAGTAATAATAGAAGAAGTCAGAAAAGCTTTGGAGAGCATGCAAAGAGGCAAAGCTGCTGGTGAGGATCAGGTAACATCAGATCTGCTGAAAGATGGAGGACAGATTGTGTTAGAAAAACTAGCCACCCTGTTTACGAGGTGTCTCCTGACGGGAAGAGTACCAGAGTCTTGGAAGAACGCTAACATCATCTTAATACATAAGAAAGGAGATGACAAGGACTTGAAGAATTACAGGCCGATCAGCTTGCTCTCTGTAGTATACAAGCTATTTACAAAGGTAATTGCTAACAGAGTAAAGAAAATGTTAGAATTCAATCAACCAAAAGAACAAGCAGGATTTCGAACAGGCTACTCAACAATTGACCACATTCATACTATCAACCAGGTAATAGAGAAATCGTCAGAGCATAACCAACCACTATACATAGCCTTCATAGATTACGAGAAGGTGTTTGATTCAGTAGAAATATCAGCCGTCATGCAGACACTGCGGAATCAGGGCGTAGATGAAGTATATATAAACATTCTGGAAGAAATCTACAGGGGATCAACTGCTACCATAGTGCTTCATAAAGAAAGCAAGAGAATACCAATCAAGAAGGGTGTAAGGCAGGGGGACACTATCTCCCCAATGCTATTTACCGCGTGCTTACAAAAGGTTTTCAGAAGCCTAGAATGGGAGCAGTTAGGGATAAGAGTTAATGGGGAATACCTTAGTAACCTGCGCTTCGCCGATGACATTGCATTGCTGAGTAACTCAGGGGACGAATTGCAACTCATGATCACGGAGTTGAACAGGGAGAGTAGAAAGGTGGGTCTTAAAATTAATCTGCAGAAAACGAAAGTAATGTACAACAACCTCGGAAAGGAGCAGCACTTCGAGATAGGTAATAGTGCACTTGAAGTTGTAAAAGGCTATGTCTACTTAGGGCATCTAATAACCGCAGAGCCGAACCACGAAATTGAAGTAACTAGAAGAATAAGAATGGGGTGGAGCACATTCGGCATGCACTCTCAAATTATGACAGGTAGATTGCCACTATCCCTCAAGAGGAAGGTATATAACAGCTGTATCTTGCCAGTACTTAGCTATGGAGCAGAAACCTGGAGACTTACAAAGAGGGTTCAGCTTAAATTGAGGACGACGCAGCGAGCAATGGAAAGAAAAATGGTAGGTGTAACCTTAAGAGACAAGAAGAGAGCAGAGTGGATTAGGGGACAAACGGGGGTTAAGGATATCATAATTGAAATAAAGAAGAGGAAATGGACGTGGGCCGGGCATGTAGCGCGTAGACAGGATAACCGCTGGTCATTAAGGGTAACTAACTGGATTCCCAGAGAAGGGAAGCGGGTTAGGGGGAGACAGAAGGTTAGGTGGGCAGATGAGATTAAGAAGTTTGCGGGTATAAATTGGCAGCAGCAAGCACAGGACCGGGTTAACTGGCGGAACATGGAGAGGCCTTTGTCCTACAGTGGACGTAGTCAGGCTGATAATGATGATGATGATGAGTTCAGTGAATAGGGTGATATCAATTTGCCCACTCTGGTTCCATTGAGCTTATGCATCATATTTTGGTGCAAAAGACATGAAGACAGATGTTATGGGGAGATGCGACTTGCAAAACACGTTTTTTTTTTTTTTGTCAGAATTGAATATTTTTG